TTATTATTTAAAAATCTGAAACTTTTTAATAAGACATTATTATATTTATAATTATATCCATTAATTAAAAAAACGTTTTTTATATTTAATGCAACATCATTTTATTTTGTTAATTTGAAATTATTTATCTCGGAAACAGCAGCATGAGGCGAGGCAAATAATCCTATCATAATATGAAGCTTACGCAAGAGAATTGGAAACAATTTAAGAAATTATTTACAGATACAAAACACAAATATTAAACAAACCCACAATGAAGTAATTCTGAGTAATAATGAGAATAACGCGTCCAAACAGATTGATGGAATATTATATTCCAAGGTAACATCTTCATTAAACATTATCGCGTTACCTAAATGATTATTTTTCAAATATTTCGTGCAATAATAAGAAACATTGTTATCTATCATTATATTATAATTATTTTTCACATACTTCGCTCAAACAACGTGTACGAAACACACGTTACATAAAGCAGTTATACAGGATAAATTAAATGGACGAAAAGGTTAGATACGAAAGTACGAAACGAGTTATGGATTATAATTTATTAACTTCCACGTATCACGCATAAACTCATATTAACCTTCTATATTAAACATCCCAGGCAGAAACGTGTGTCAAACATACGAATCCAATATTCGCATCTTCGGGTAATTTCCAAAATTCCTGCAGTGTAAATTACAGAGATATATTTAACTGCAACCTTTTCACGTATCATTTTCACATGTGATCTCCACTTTTGCAAAAACGTTCGCGCGAAATCTCTCGGATTTTCATCGAGGCAGCAGGACTTGTGCCACCTTCAAACTTTTCACAGCGCAGAAATAAATCTTACTTCTATTGAAGACGTTTTATCATCTGAAGAATTGAAGACGTTTTATCATCTGAAGAATTGTGTTTAAAATCGGAAACTTAAATGTTTGAAGATGAAAATGACGAGACAACTGGCTGTTTCCTGAAGGATAAAGGTTCCCACCGATAGGTAGAGATTTTTGCTAGAACGGAGAGATTATTGGGTTTTCCTCGATCGTCTTGTATTTCGACGTCTCTGCTCTTGTTTAATCTCTCTACCGCAAATTATATAAATGAGTGGAAAGGGGAAGCTTTAACGTAAAATAACGTACGTTCTGCGCAGCGCAAATGCTGCACACGTGTCCCTCTTGCTTGTTGCTGCTTATTACACTGCTTCAATTGCGAAAGGAATTTTTCTGCAATATTTTCTTTGAAACTCAGATCTTTCCTTACTTCGTGTTTCTGCTTATATAATGCTCTGATATTGGAATATAAGTTTTATTTCGTGGTGTCGTGTAATGCAACTTTAAATCGGAGCAATTATACAAGGTTACGCCAATTATGATAAAAGTAACTAATACATGCAGTGTATAATTAATATTTTATAATAAATAATATAATGCTGCAACTATGTAATATATTATATTAATAAAAATAATTAAGGAAAGCAACAAAATAATAAAATAGTTATTATGAAAGCAATAAAAAATGTATATTAATATAATTAATATTAATATTATATTAATATAATATAAATTTAAATATTATGGTATATAATAAATATTATATTAATATAATATAAATTTAAATTAATATTAATACTATATTGATATAATATTAATATTATATGTTATATAATAATCACACTGTAATAGTAAAAATTAAATTTAAAAAGACCATGAGATTGCGTGGCAAATCTCCATGTTTGATTTATACCAACATTTTTCAGTTCTTCGTAATCCCAAGCTGCAACGTGGCGCAACAAGAATTTGTTGTAAAGTCCAAAAAATTTCGCGCTTGATTAACATTTTCCGAATCACCGGATCCTCTTAATGGGTAAACTTTTTTCATTGTTGAAAGTTTTTTTAAATGAAAAACTCTGACTCGTTGATTCTATGTGTATTAAATTCAAAATACAATACTAAACTCTGCTTACATGGGGAAAAAGTGGCGGAACTTTCGTTCAAAAATAATTTCCAGCATTTAAAATTTCCATTGGAATATAAAATACTTCGAGCTCTCATAATACATGTTACGCAGAGAATACTTAAAATGTCAAAACAAAATAACCACTCAATGAGGATATCCATTAACTATACAATTAAAGTATCAATTTGCCATTTATAATTTGCAACAAAGCGCGACAATTGATCCTTATAAATATTTTTTACCCAATCATAATGTGTTATAGTTTTCAATATATGCACATTTTAATAAAAATTTCAATAAAATATGAATTAATCGTTGAATAATTAAATAATAATTGCGGAAATTATTCGTAATTGTTGATTGATGTCAACAATGGTTAAATTGATTAATGATTACGGTAATTATGGTTGCGTTAAGTAATCGATTGCCGAAACGATTATTTAAAAAATCAATTATTAACACATCGAGTTTTGATGAAAAATTAAAATTGATCGATTTTAAAAAAGAAATCAATGATTTTATTGTTCGAATTCATTGACACCATTAACAAAATTTAAATATTCATAATGTCATAAGTTTTTAATAATTGTTGAACTACATAGAAAGGACATGAACGTTCCATCATTTAGGAGAGTTATAATTAATAATAGTATTTTATGTAAAATATTAATTTTATACATATATATATAATTAATAATGAAATTTCACTTGAAAAATTTGTGAAATTGCAAGATATTTATTATAAATATACAAAATTTATGTACATTAATATACAAAAATTTTTAACAGCTACAGAACATATTAAAATAAATAATTAGAAGTGAATACTAAGGGTTGAAAAACAGAAGAAAAATCGAATAGATGAGAAAAGAGAAAACTTGTACAATCTTTGTTCTAGCAATGATCAAAATTGCTAAAACAGTCTTGTCTGTTGCGCAACTAAATAAATATTCTGTCGTGTCTTATGAAATACAATAAAATTTAGCAGTTTTAGCAATTTCCTGCGTGCAATTTTTTTTCATTTTCTACTATCTTTTCTTCCTTTATTTTAATACATGTTTTATTATTTAAAAATAGTTTAAACATACTTTTAATTCTCGGATACTTGAAATTTCTCTTCGAATAGTTTTTATTTGTGCGTAATTTCCTTGTACGATAAGTATGTAGATCAATCCTTCAATTTGTTCGAGAGAATATCTTTCTGAAACATTTTAACAATGACCTTCGATATCAACGATATTTATGAAACCATTCAGCTCCTTGCTAGATAGACTGTCGTAAAAACTCATGAATAACGTTTGATAATAACTGTCAGATACATTTCCTCTCAAAATATTTCGTTTTTATTACACTGCATTCGCCTCTTCCACTTGTGTCAGTTCAAAGATTTACTCGTACCTCTCCAATGTAAATCAATTTTCCTCTGCACGAAGTGCTAATCATTTCACATTAACATATTCACTTTGTACGTATCCGTATTTCTATAACACGTCACACGTATAAAGTGGGCCAAAAATCACTTCCTATTAAAATGAATCCGTAATCATTTTATTAACTTGCAAACACACTGGCGGCCAACGTTCGAAAGAAATAATTTTTAAAACATAATGGGAAAATCACGTTTCAATTTAAATCTAGTTTGAAATTCATAAAATTAGTTTTTTTCTTATACATTTTGATGTTTTATTTAAAAAGAAAAAAAATTTCATTTGACCCTATAGATATTGAACGTAACTCAAAGATCATGAAATTTCAGGGAAAGAGAAACTTAAATTAACATTTAATTAATAGTTCATAAATATATTTTTATGAAATGTTAACGTAAAATATGTGTACGTGTATATCAAATGTGACATATAAATGTTATATAAAGATAAATAAATGTTATATATAAATGATATATAAATGTTATATAAAGATAATGTCATATTATATAAAGATCACGAATGAGTACAGTTGTTCATAAAAGTATTCGAACGCTTTCATATGAATATATTATGTATTATAAGTTTTTATGTATCATATAAAACATAAATGAAATGAAATTTCATTGCCACTGTAGCGAGTAAAGAACGGATCTTGATATGGTTTCATACTTTTGTAAAACCATATAACATAACATGATATAATATAGCATAATATAACATAACATGATATAATATAGCATAATATAACATAACATGATATAATAAAATTGCCTATAATAAAATATAATATAATATAATAAAATTGTCTATAATAAAATATAATATAATATAATAAAATTGTCTATAATATAATATAATAAAATACAATATAATATAATTGGTTTGCTTGTCAGAAGTTCAAAAAAAGATAATATATCACAATAATAGTTTAAAGATTAAACGCATTCTTACATGCTGATCATTCGGTATTAAACATTTCGTAATTTTAAGCTCCCGAATGTTGAATGAAATCTCAAAATGTTTTTATATAGCGTACATAATTTATTCACAAACTAATAAATGCTTTCTATTATATAATCATTATACATAAAAATATATCTTACCTATTGTCTCGCTTTACACGGTGAATTTCATATTTAAAAAAAGGTTCGTGTTGTGGAAAATAAAAAAAGTTTCAACACTTCCTTTTATGGTGTCAACATCGCCTTTCGTTTTACAGAGAATTCCTTTTCTTGACACTGAAGAAGCATCACCATCTTCCTGTACAAGTTATTACAATCGTAAGTTCAGTTTAACTCTCAGTCGTGCGACTGTGAAAAAAAAATCACAGTGACAGTGAACGAAAAAAGAACTAGAATAGTAAGAAAGAGACACATAAGAAGAAACGTGTGACTATGAAACTTTGCGCGAAAAAAAAAAAAAAAAAATTGCAAAAATCGTGAGATGTATATAACACGTGTCTAGTTCAAACGATAGCCACTGTGTTCCATAATTCCATTTATTATACTTTCCATATACTTGCGCATTCGTTCGATTCCCCCTATATCGTGGGTGAAACCGAGTCCCACGTAAATCAGAATACGCGAATCCGTATGTTCTTACGTACGTGCTGGCACGGTGATAGGGGGCTGATTCCACTGAAAGAACCGCCAACACAGGTTGCGCGCTTCGAAGGCGCACTGAGTTGTCCCGTCCACCATGGGCCACCATGCTCCACCGTGATGCCAGACACGATCGGGATCCTGCACGGATCAAACGTCTGCCACCCCTCTCCGACTTTGGTGAACCTGTGCGGACTTGAGCGGACCGATTCCTCGATAGAGCGCGTTTCCTGCCGGACTTCCTGCCTCTCTCGTTTCCGAGTCGAAGGTGAACCGACACTGACAGACACAGTGAGTGTAGAAACTACTCGTACACTTGGAAGATCCGCCGATAACCTTGTAAAAAACGGGGAAAATAAATTGTCGAGGAGTTTTAGTAGAAATGAGGAGAGACAGCGGTCTTCGGGGCCCAAGATGGATTTAGAAAGAAAGTTTTTTTTTTTTTTTAGTGTAAATATTCGCATAATCTTCGACTTTCCAGGGGGGGGGGGGGGGACAGTTTTTTGGCCTTTTTTAAAATTTTTCAAAATGGCAAAAGTAGTGTTTCAGAAATGACTTCAGATTTCGTTTCCCCATGAATTTCGTAATAGTTCAAAGTGTAGATAATTTTTCGAGTGTACGATTGTTTTCTGTTACTCCCTTTGTTATTTACTCGCTTTATGTTACACGACGGAAGTGACACACAACTCGAGCAATTTTTGCGACGTTCTTACAGTTGTCGTTTGCAAGAAATATAAAAATCTTATTCAGTCGTCTTCGTTGCAAATATCAGAATAACATTACATTACTCTTGTGTTATTCTACGTTATTTAGAGTCTTGATTTGTCATTATGAGCAAGTGTATTACGAAAAGTGTGTCATTTTGAAACGCGTCATTTTTAACAAATTAATATCTAAACTTTATTCAAAAACTGTTTTCCGCTTCTTCTCTACGAATTTTTGTCACTTTCGTCGCAAGTGTGTTGTACGAATATTAAAATACAATGTACAGTATTGTGACAAACGAGAGGCTGCTCTGCTTCTGGAAAAATTATTTCACTGTTAATCGAGGCTCTCGATGGAAGAAAAGTGGTGGAAATTTTCTCGAATTTTCTCTTTGAAGCACGTCAGATAAGTGTGAAAAACGATTGGAAACATTCGTATTTATTCGTCTGAAGAGTTTTGTTAAGAGTTTCCTATCCAGACATTCGCTATCCAGTAATGTGTAAATTGTGAATTTTTCCATTTCTTTTCTTGAAAAATCGAGATAAGATGAGGAAAGAGTTAAAAACACTTGTTCATTATGTTACGATTTTATCGTGAGTTGTTAAATATTTATTGCTATACGTAGCAATGTGTAAATTGCAGATTTTCATATATTTTCGTTTTTTCGATATATTTCACGTACGTAAATTTTTCCATTTTTTCTCTGAGTAAGTAATGATTAAACATTTCAATTTATTTATTTATTTTTTATTATTTTGTTACGCATATTCAAATATTAGTTGTTACACATGCGGTGATTCTCGCTCTGAAAAATCGAGGTAATTGCAAGAATCGATTAAAAATATCTATATATTTATTTAGAGAATTTTATTCAAAATTAAATTTTACAAAATTACTATTAAGAATTTAAATTTACTCGCAATGTTCTAAAATCAAAGATTTTGTTACTTTTATCTCTTTTTCTTTTGCCTTAATAGATTAGCTTTCGTTTAGCTATGTTTATTATGTAGAACGGACATATTTATTTATTATATTTATTATATCAAAGTTTGATTGTAATAATGACAGATACGATTCAATATGGAATATATTGCGTAGAATATATTTTTGTTTATTGTATCTGTTATCATAATCTATAGTTTCCATTTTCTTTTTCTTTCTTTAATTTTTTCTAGGAAAGAGGGATAAATGAAAAATTTAGATAAAACTTTTGCAAATTAAAACGTGCATGTTTTATCATACATTAATTAACTTTCGTCGACCTAGATTATAAGACATTTGCCGGATTGTTTCTCCGAATTCAATTTTAAATTTTTATTAAAATATTCTTGGAAGCTCACCATTAATACTTCTCCATGATTTTTCAATGTGGACAATTTTCCTCGGTGTCACATTAACAGTTAATTAATTTTTTCAAATTCAATTTTCTCTCATTTGCACTGAATATTGAGGTGGGAACGTGAACCGAATTAAAAATTTTCGTCCCACTGAATTATAAAGTTTCGAATATCTAATTTTAAAAAAAAAACATTTCACCTTTTCTTAGATCGTATCCAAAAACATAGATTTGTAAATTGAAGTATTATTTTATTAAAATATCTCGTTACGTGTATAAAGTTACTCACGTCATTGTTAAAAATTCATAAAGCAATAAGAGTTTAATTGATTTTTAGAAGGTGCAGTTGAAAATTTACATTTTTGCCATCTTTCCATCAAATATGAACGCACATAATTAAAGTTTATTCCCGTAATTTATCCTTAAATGGATGTACAACTAACAGAATAATATACAATTAGCTTTGTGCGATCTCATCTCATTAAATTGCCAAATAATTAATTACAAAGTAACTATTAGTAAGCACTAATTTATGGTAATTTAAAGTCCTAAAATTTGATCTCGCATTTGACATTCCTCGTAACAGAAATTAGCAATGAAATCGAGTTAACTCGAAAAATTTCAGAATCAAGTAATTCAATTCTACGTCGTGCCAAATGATACCCATTAAATGCTAAAATGTCCAAATAACAAAATTAAATCAAACTTGAAATTTCCAGAAATGCATGTGACGTTTCATTTATCTCAAAATTTCGTTGCATTTCTTATTAGATGTACATTGTAAGGATAAATTTCTAGTTTAATCAGGCCTTTTCCAATTTTGGCCATTTCCCTACGCTCTTTCTTTCTTTTTGTTTTATTCCGTATGTCCAATTTTTCACATTGAGAAATTTTTTTCTGAAAATGAGCATTCCCTTTCGATTTATTCGTTTTATTTAGAAATTAAACACTAAAAGCCAAAAAGAATTATTTGTTTTGAAGAGAACAAAAAATATTTAATTGCTCATTTTTATTTCTCACCAGCGTAAAACACCATTGGTCACATGGCGATCGGTTCCGAAAATTCAGTGACGGTTCTTATACGCACTTGGATCTTCATGATAATCTTTTGTTTCGCGGGCTATGCAGCAGGTATGTACAAATTTCTCCAATCTGTTCTATCGTTTCACTGTCCAATCGTTTGCGATTAAAGTAATCAAATTGTAAAATTAAATAGAAGAAAACTTTTGTATGCTTCATACTTTGGTTTAGTATACTATTGTGTACACTCTTGTTGTTTCTGAAGATATGAAAGAACTTTGTCAATAAAAATTGTTTAGTATAGTAGGGACCGTAACATGGCAGTAATAATTTCTTTTATGCGCAGCGAATGCTGAAGAATGTTCTTAACAATTATTCTTAAAAATAATATAAAATTATAAAATACAGTAATTTAAAAACAGGATTAATATAAAAATTTTATCGTTTATGATAAACATTAAAGAATACTTTTAAAAGTTATAAGATTAATTTTGAGATAGTCTTACGAATAACATGAGAATCATATATAAAATACATGTATAACACATTATGAGAATTTCATTATTTCTCATGGATATTCTTAGAATTTAAAAGATTGTTTTAAAAATATTTCTATGTTAAATAGTATGAAAATTATATATAAAATGCACGTGCAATTTTAGAAATTTTATCTACTTTCCCTTGAGAAATGTAGAATTATTTTTGAAAAAATCTTAAAAATAATATAAAAATTAAAAGTAAATTAAAGTGTTAAAATATGCAAAATAAAAAATTGAAAAGACACTCATAAAAATAAAGAGTGCCCTAGGACTTATCGCAATCAGTCAGGAGTGTATATAAAAAGATCTATATTTGATGTGGTGATTTCTAAAATAATCCTGCAACGATTCTCAAACTTTTACACATCATTTCAATCTTACGCTCAAACAAGAAAGAATTTATAATTTAAGTTTCATTTACAATTAAATTCCAATTTACTTTTAAAAATATGTTTGACACAAAACTAATTGAAAGCCATGCGTTAAGAAGATATTCCTCAATTTTAATTCACAGAAATGTGAATTGATCGAAAATGACTGAGAAAATGCAAAGTAAAATTGGGTACAATTGAATTACTTCGAAAGATGAGCTGGTGTCTTCGACGTTATTGAGAGATTTCAATAAAAGATTAGAGCTCATTACTGGCCATTTTTCGTAGTAATATTCAAATACTTTTTTTAATTGAAACAAATGTAACATATTGGAAACTGTCGGAAATAGATTTTTACTTTAATTAAATTTTATCAATGGATGTTTGAGTAAGTGCGAATAATCGAATATTTTTGTACAGCGTTGATTTTTCTGGAGGAATTATTTCCTGTATCTCTGAAAACGTACAGTTGGCGTACAATAAGAAATCTGCAAAATTTCAAATATTTAATGAAAAATAAAACCTTTATTACTATTTTATAGACCAAATTTTGTTTCTTTTATTTATTTACTGGGAGATGTGAATATTTGAACAGAAAATCATGAACTTTAGTGTACAATTATCATAGAAACATAATTATATTAAGTAATACAATACATGGAACATAATGTGTTATTATTATTATTATTATCAGAATAAATTTTATTCAATCTTCTATTGGCGATGTCCATTTAAAGTTTTCAATTCAAAAGTCAAATTTATATATTTAAAAATTGAATATCAAGGAATGTATTAAATACTGCCTTCACTTCGATCTTACAATTATCTTTTAAATTGTTAATTTTGTCGCAGGATATTCTTATACGGATTGTTTTTGAAAATTAGAAACAGACATGTTCTCGATATTTTCGAAGTACTTTGTCATTTACGATAAAATTTTGAACACACAGTACAAACAAAAACATCAAAAAATAACAAACAAAATTGTAACGAAAATTCCAATTTACTATGGGTATTTTAGTGGTTCGACATTTCATCTTCAGTGGTTCGATAAGAAGTAGAAAAAAGATTTTCAAAAGTTCAAGGATCAGCTCAAACAACTTTAATCCTATCAATCACCGTACGTGTTGAGCCATTCTATGTCTGGAATCAATTGATCAGTTATGACCATTAAGAGGCAAACCTCACTTCACTGTTCAACTACTCTATCACTCTGAAATTTGACTCCTTTCTCTGTGTAGCCTTTGCTTCTCAATGCATTTCTAAAGCTAAAGAAATTAAAGATTTCTAGCTTACACCAATACACATTTATGTGTATTCAATGAGATTGGATGACGAAATTTTAGGATTTCTTAAATTTTTCTCGTTTATTTCCAATGGATCAGAGCTCGATAAAATAGTGAAAAAAAATCGTATTATCCTAAAATAGTAAAAAAATAGCATCTTTGAGAGTTGTTATAAAGAAAAAATTTCAGTTCTCAAGACCATGATGGGGAAAAAAGCTTTTCTACGTTTTCAGAGAAAACGTTTTATTTTTATAATAAAAGTAATGTAAAAATGAAATTAGGTAGATTATTATATGATCATCTTTCACGAAATTACAACAGTTCAAATTGTCGACAATTTTTCATCGTTATGTGTTCACTTCTTGCTGTTATAGCATAATTATAAAATAAAATAGAAAGAGCAAGAAATGAAGTAATGATATACTATATGATCGAATATATTACGAAATAGACAAAATATAATATAACAACGAAGTAGAAACATTCAAGGAAAAAGTTCTTGCAATTAATCTTGTTCCCAACGTGAAATGTAATTATAGGAACAGAGAAGCACAGAGCAATCTTCACTTTCCTCTAACTTATTAAACACGCTGTAGTTATGATACCGTCTACTTACAATCAAGCATAATAAAATACAAAATTTATAACATTAATTGAGCCGCGATGTTTGCACGAACGAGAGAACAAACATTGAATTAACAAAGATTAAATTCGACGTATTTACGGGCATATAATGATACAATAAGTGTGATACATAATAATTCTGCGCGTTGAACGCTATCAATTTGGAAGTATGCTAGCTCGATAAATAATGGTGAAGAATTAAAAGTAAAATGTGAAAAGAAAAATACACGCGTGCAAGACCTGGGATATTTCATATGAAATACTTAAAAACAGAGAACAGTTCATGATTCAAGTATTATATGTATAGGTACATAAATGAAAAGAAAGTACACATTGGATATTTCTTGCCAATCAAGTAACATCGTCCTTGACCAGTGAATTAAAACAATAAAATTTTCAATATCTTATAAGTTTTCGGTACGAGTTTAATAACAAATTTAATTGAAAATTTAATAAACTCAGTAACAAATTTTATTAAGCATAAATGCATAAATAATTAGGCACTTACTTAGTGTGATTAACAGCTTGATATTTTTGTTACAATCGTGTATTTTCAAAATTCACGTCGCTTTTTTAATAAGTAAGCTGATGCTTCATAAAACATATAAGCATTTCATATATAAATCATTTCAATGCTGTTAGAAAATTTCAGTTTCAACAAATTTCAACAACGACGACGTGCTAAAATCACTCGACAAAGTCTTTAGCTTTCAATTATTATAATATTCTTTCTACCAACGTCTGTCAATTGCATATGTTCAGGTTAAATCAAAAAATTTTCATATATTTGCAATAATTTAGAAGCGTCCAGACACTTATTAGCACAAAATACGCATAGTAATGCATATGTGCACATTAAAAATTTGTATTTCTCCTCCCTTTGCTTTCTTTCATTATCGACACACTCTGTGTGCAGTGCTTCATCACGTGTGCTTTTCCTATCGATTTTTCTGTTTGCAATAGAAGATCAACAACCCATTTTTAATGATCTAAATGAACTATTCGAGGCCTCGTCGCTTTTCCTGCGCGATAATTCTATGGCTTGTATGCTCGTTATTAAAAAAAAATTAATTTGTTGATATATAGTGAAATAATAACAATATTATAAAATATATATATAATAAATAATAAAATTGTTGATAAATAAATAAATTTGAAAGTATAAAATTGCACAGACTGCATATAGTATGAAGAAATATATAAAATATCCAAAATGCAGTCTATTTATTTATATTATTTATAATAATAATCTATTTATATATATTATTTAATAATAATTATTTATATAATAATATAACAGAATCTCAATTTTAACTTTAACTGATTTGTTATTTTCACCTTGGAATTTCACATTACTTATATTATCTTCTTGCGACGAATGAATTTAAATTATTAATTTTCTAAAAATCAAATTTAATTTAATTTAAATATTAATTCGTACGCCCTTGATACGATGAAATTAAAAATATGAATTCAGTTCAATTTTTTGATAGGTTCAATATATTAATACATCCCAAAATTCAATATCGTTGAAATTTCAATTTTCAATTCTACCAAAGACATATATTTGAAACAGTGGAAATTCTACCAAAGACATATATTTGAAACAGTGGAAATACATAATTGCAACTCAATGACCAAAGGTTTTGCATACTCTGTGTTTTACTAACTTTGGCAACGACTCTGTTCTGCTTGAATTTTGCATTTTCAAGTTGCAAATATTTATTTATATTTAACTGACTCGCTAAGAACTGTTTGGCTTACGACATTTGATATTTAACAATTGCAAATATAAAATCTCGTTGACGATGAATTTTTCAAACGGCGGTTCAATTTTTGGAGAGAGTGTTTATAGATTATTCATGGCCCCGACGATGAAATGGTGAAATATGCTGTTCGTTGTTTTGCGTGGTATAATTTCGCTAGAAATTGCACATAACGTCGGTAGCCTGATGTATAATCATAATTTACGCGGTTCATTTATCTTCAACCGGTTGAAAAATTAATACGGAGCGTAGAGTGAAAACCGTTTCCTACGTATATTTTTTATGTGCAACCAGTATGGAATTTCTGAAACAATTCATTAGTTTGTACATTTGTTACAAAATGTTACAAATGGACTGTCTACGTTAAGTTATTATCTGACGATCTTTAAGCACCATTGTTCGATTATAAATAGTTGGATATTCTGTTTGTTAAGCAGCACGATTTGATTATGAAGTTACCGGTAACGTTTACTGGGCTTAGTACATATTTAGGAGACTCTCACGTTTGAAAACGCAATGAAGAAA